CGCCCTTTCTTTAACATTGGCAATCTTAGAATATCATAGTTGAGGTTGAATTGAGCTCGTCAGTCCTCTTTTGAGTATTATTCAGGGTCTAAGTGAGATCTATATATATAAGGTCGAATTTTCACTGATGTTAAGAGTAACACCCAAAAACCCCGGCTCTTAATTAAAAAGAATAAAATCATCATCTTAAGATGCTACTCAAACATACATGCTTACTTTTCAAATAATTTTAAAACATGCAGCAAAACTCAAATAATTAACATAAACTTTCAATATTTGTTCAATTGAAATACTTAATGAAATTAACAAAATTTAAACATCAATTCAAAACAAATCAAACAACCTATTCCATGATGTTAGAGATCAGAGTAAAATCCATCTAGTAGCAATAGAGAATAAATAAATGAAGAGAGCTTCAAAGCCATCATCCAACTCATAGAAGCACTTACTTCTTCTGAGTATATGTACAATATTGTACAAGTCACACAAAACAAACAAGAAAGGGGTGAAACAACAACAACAACAATAATAGTAGTAACAACAACGCCAACAACAACAACAACAGTAGTAACAACAACGCCAACAACAACAACAATAACAGCAACAACAGTAACAATAGCAGCAACAACAGTAGCAGCAGCAATAACACCACCACCACCACCACCACCACCACCAACAAAAACAAGAACAACAACAACAACAACAACAACAAGAACAACAACAACAATAGCAGCAACAACAACATCAACAACAACAATAACAATAACAACAACAACAGCAACAACAACAACAACAATAACAATAACAACAACAACAACAATAGTAACAACATTAGCAATAACAACAACAACAATAACAACAATCGCAACAACAACAACAATAATGCAATGTGAAATGCACTAAACTCCTCCTTTAATATGTCTGTGGTACTGGATTTTTGGGCATCAGAGGTATGTTACTTATTGTAACGGTGAAAATCAGAGATCAAACTATTAATTAACTTGACTCGCAAATAAGCAAGAGTTGTCGTCGCGCTTTATCATTTCCATGGGAAAAGGGAAAAAAGCGAAATAAAACCCATAAATATGCAAAGTAAGTGCAATACTAAAAGTAAAGAAATATACAATGCATTTGACAAGATCGAAGGTTTGGGGGTTGGTTATACAAAGGGAAGGTACTAGCATCATATATATCTATAGTATCCTATAGGAACCTTTTGAAATATTTGTATTTTTGGTTAAAAAGTTTGTTTGTAAAAAGGATCGGGGAGATGAGAAGTTTTGAAAATGCAACGACCTAATGTCGAGGTTTTGGCTTAAAAGGGTGTAAATTTGAAAATAGGATTTTAAAGGTTTTAACTAATGGGAAACAAATATGAGGGACAAAATATAAAGACTCACAGTGACATAAAGTCAACGAGACGATCCTTTTCATTGGATTCAAACACAAAGATAATAATCAAATAAAGATCGGACAAGAACCATGCATTAGATAAAAAGGGATAGTAACCATAATCCAAGGATTAAAGAACCAATTTTAGGGTTTTTTTTTCTTTATTAAGTGGCTTATAACAAGCAAAAGAAAATAAGAAGCTCAAGTGAGCAAAGAGAAGATAAATACTCAAGTGAGCAAAGAAAAAATGCATTAAGTAAAGAAAATAAAATGCTATGGATGATAAATGACATAAAAGTAAAGAGAAGAAAATATAAAGTGCGGAAATATAAATGATATTAAAGAAAAGTTAGTACAATATAAAGTTAATAATCTGATTTGGGATAAGTGTAACTTCATATGGAGCATAGAATGTATATACCCATATATGTTAGAGAAATGACACTTTGAAGTTCATTCTCTTATACATGTAGTACAATTAACAAACATGTGGATCAAGACAAAGTCAAAGAAGATACATTATGACAAACTTATCATCAATTCCAAGCACCTTGAATGATCAAAGGACCATTTAGAGGTACATTGGAAATGATGAAAGTTCATCAAATATCCGACAAACTTAGATGAACTAAAAAAAACTCAAATGCTTTCCAAATTGATCCAAATAAAAATAAAAATAAAATAGATAAAGAAGAATAAGATGAAGTCTATAATAAAAATAGTATAAATGTCATAATTTTCTAGATTTTTCATGAAATTAAACAAATGAATAATGAAAGTTTATCTACTCAATCTCACGACCAATGATCCATGCTCAAAATAAGTAAATAAACAACAAAAAATTACAGAAAAAAATGAAAATTAAACAACAATAAATCACTTTTGCTTTTGGAGGTTCAAGAACACTTTTTAACTCTTGATTTTGAATCAATGAAATTTCCTTCCAAAATGGTAATAATTATGGCACTAAATAAATAAATAAATAAATAAAGAGTAAAAATACAATAGAATTAAATAAAGAACAAGTATAATAGCCTACCTCTTCAATAAAAGAAAGAAATGACTTGAAAAAAAATAAAGAAAAAAAGAAGAAGAGAGTTTTGCCTTAGTTTAGTGAATGATTTATGGTATGTTCCTCCAAATGAAAGAAAGAAAGGTCTTATTTATAGGGTGAATGAGGTGGGAGTGCTGATGTGGCAATTCATGTGACTTTATGATAATGGTTCTTGGCCATTGATAAGTCCAAGTTAGCAATCCATGTAAAGTGTGAGAATGATTCTTAGTCATTGATAAGTACAAGTTGACAATTCATGTGAATTGTTTATACTACATTATAGTGGTCCCAATTTTTCTTTATTGACACAAAAAAATAAAAGGACAAAGTAGTAGTAATAATAATAATAATAATAATAATAATAATAATAATAATAATAATAATAATAATAATAATAATAATAATAATAATAATAATAATAACTAAAAGTGTTAGTAATAATAATAAATACAAAATAGAAAATAAAAGAGACATTAAATTAACTATTTATGATTTTTTTTCTTGAATTAAAATAAATGAAAATATAAGTGCAAATTAAAAGATAAAAAATAAAATACATATAAGAAAGTAAAAGAACTTATATAAATTTTTCTAGACTTTTTTTGAAATAAATGATATCAATATATAAGTTTAAATTAATAAAAGAATATATTTTTGATAATTATTTTAGTAAAGAGGTAAAAATAGTAAATAAAAAAAATAACATGATGTTAAGTACATTTTTTGTGATTTTTTTAAATAGAAAAGAAATCATGAATAAAACACAATAAAAATCAAATTTCACTAAATTCATAAATGATTTCTAACGTTTCTATTTTTTCGTGGCTTTTCAAAACATAATCAGCTCTTGACTTGTAAAAAGAAATTGTATATGATGTCAAGGAGAATCATATGCAAAAAGAACCGCTCAAAATGTTGAAATTTGAAGAAGTTATAAATTTTTGAAATCTAACTCAAGAATTGGGAAAAAAAAAAGTCAAACCACTCGTGAACACTTGTTATGCAATGATGCAAATGAATTGTGGGATCTTAGGTCAAAATTGGGATATGACACTTATTTATCTCCATCTTTGGTTCCTCTTTGAACCGTGTCCCTCTTTGGACATGAGACCGTCATGGATCCTCTCTGAGTCTAACCTCAATGGACTTAAGTCCTACCTAACTTCAATGCAAATGTATGCAAAGTAATAAAATTAACTCTAAAATAATAATTTTATTTTCAAACTTATTAACAAGATAACTAAAGATCATCGACATCAAAATTTACTTGAATTAGTTAATGGTTGTAAAACTATACTTGCAATCAGACTTGCAAGAATAACACCGACCATTCATAAAAAGAATCAAGAAAATAAGTCAACTTATGTGCAAAGAAAATAATTAAGGATGGTCTTTTAACTCACTAGTCATTTAGAATCTTCCTCCATCCATCTTCCAAGATTCACCATTGTTTAAAGGTTAAATTTTTCTTCTTAAAAACTAGCAGAAAGGATGACATTGACTTGTGGAAATATAGTTGTGGGACCTAGATGTAAGAAAAATTAATTATGAGGCCAACATGAAACCAAGAAGGTAATCTTTCGTAAATTTAGGGATAATTTATTCATTATGACATGTATTAATCAAATTTTATCGTATAAAGTAAAATTTTAAAATTACATATTAATTTAAATTCTTAAAAAATTAAAATGAAATTAAAAAAATAATATATAATTTGATTTTTGAATAGTAAGATATTTGTATGTCAAATATGAATAATGATTCTCACATTGAATAAAAAATAGGTTATTAATCTTTTTTTAAATGAGAAAAGACATAGATTCAATATTTTAAGATTTTGAATTAATATGTAATTTTAAAAATAAACTTTATATGATAAAATTTCATTAGTATAAATCATTAAAGATAAATTGCTTTTAATTTTACAAGAGGTAACTTAGATCTCCCTATTAAAATATCATATTATAACACTTGTTGCATATTAACAATATACCTTTCTACCACTAAATGGATTTAAAGGATGGTTTAATTTAGATTAGTAAGAAAAGTGTTTTCTCAACAAAAAAAAATTTAACAACAAGCATATTACATTTTCTTACATAATAACAAACATTGATAAATTCGCATAAAACTAACCAATCATATAAACTTTTCACTTTAATTTTTACGAAATTGTCTCTTCGTACTACATAAGATCTTTCTTAATAAAATGACAATTGAACTAACTTTGAAATTATAACGGTTTTTTAAAAGAAAAAAGCTACTTTATTACTTAATTTTAAATTTTCACCACATAAAATATCATACATGTATACTTCATATTTTTTTATTGTTTATTTTTCTCACTTTGAAAGTTGTGCACACTAAATCTGTTGCATATTATACGGTGTCAAATTGTCAATTGGTTATGGTGTAAATTGTCGATGTCAAATATCATGCCTCTTTTTAAAATCACATTATACAAAAATACATTAAATTATTATTCCACACGTCAACTTACAAGTTAAAATTAAGACCAAACTTATGTAAGTATAAAAACACAACAATATTCAATTCAAATTCGAATACAATCTAAGCAAAATTTTCTCTCTAATTCACAACTTTGTTGAAGTTGAAAATAATCTTTATATGTAATTCCACGATATATTGATGGATCATCCTTGCTAAGCAGCTCTGGTGCAGGGGTGACAATGGTGTCAAGTGTGGGCCCATGTGCTGTACCAACAGAAATTCTTGCAGCTTTTTTATTCATCACCAAAGCACGATGAACAACACTCTTGTATTTTCCATTTGTAAGTATCTAAGGACAAATATAAAATATTTATTTATGTAACCATTACCCAATAGAAATATAAAATTTGAATTGTAAAAGTTTAATTCTAATCATATTTTGCTCCAATTCAATATCACACACCTAACAACTAATTAGTTAGTGTTGACAAACTATTCATGGTGTGCTTATAATTGATTTTGAGATAAACAATTATTCCATCTAAACATAAAATCACACATGGTTTGATTTAATTTCATACGGTTTAATTTTGATTGGATGATATCAGATGTTTAAAATAAAATTGGTTTAATTTTGATTGACATAATTAAAAGATGGTTCCTTTGAGGTGGGATAAAATAAGATTCTAAGATGGTTTGGGTTAAAGAGTCGGACTTCTATAAGAAGTGGATAAATGGTTTGAGTATTCACGATCTTCATTTGGTTAATTTGTCTTTATTAAATAAATAGCAATTAAGGTTGATATATGAAGGTATTGACATCTGACACGAGATTTTCTCTGCTAGATTTGAGGGTTGGATTTTTTTCTCTTTCAGGGGCAAGTCCTCAAGATTATGAGTTCCATATACCTGGTGGAAGGATGTCTTTCTTCTTACATCTGAACAGAGGCTTCCTCCAATTAGTTTTTGAAAGGTTTGTGGAAGAAAATGGGAACGAGACTCCTCACTTCATTTTAGGATGACCTTTGGGGTAAGGTCTACTCCCTTTAAGGATAATTTTCTAGGATCTATCTTATTTCTAATCAAAGGATAGGAAAATGGGTGTTGTTGATTGTTGAACTGGGGTCTTCATTTGGAATCTTCATTGGATAATAAATATGTTTGTTAGTGAGTAGGAGGTGGCTTCTAGGGTGATCTAACAATTAGCCTCTCCTTAGGTGTTGATAATTGATGGTGGAACTATGGTAAATAGGGTATTTTATTCGTTGATTTCAATTTTATTGCCCTTCTAAAAGCTTATACATGGGTCGATATTGCTTTGTATAGAGAGGATTTCACACTGCATTTAATTTGGGTCAATTGGATACCATCAAAAGTGGTTATCTTCTCTTGACAACTTCTTAAAGATAAGATATCAATGAGAGAGAATATTTTTAAGTGGCATGTCTAACATTTTAATGACGTTATTTATTGTGGTATGCGTTTAGGTCCATTTGAGTTAATCTCCATCTTGTTTGTGACCTGTGAGTTTGTGCTACGTCGTGGTATATGATTTTTAGGTGGATGAAGGAGTCTTTTTTTTTCTGTTCAGAGATTTGTCTACTATTTTTAGGTTTTATTTCTTTAGAAGGCAATATTTAATATTAGGAGCGATCTATCTATGATTAGGAACTCTATGGTGTAATATTTGGAAATCCCGTAAAGATGCAATCTTTTCCATATCAACTACAGGCATGGAGGATTTGGAGAAATAGAGTATTTTAACTTCTTAAAAATGATATATTTGGAGAAATATAGTCTACTTCTCTTCTTTATCTGATTGACAAGAGAATCATATTCTCTTTTTAACCTATTGTAGCTTGAAAGTTTCGACCCTTGGAGAATAATGTTATTGTTGTTTGGAGGATTTACGTTTGTCGATGGTGGTCCATGGTGATTGGATTATAGTTGATTATTCATTTTTAACATATTTATTTTTAATAAAAAAAGAGTAAAATAAATTTATCTATGGTGGTTAGAGTTTATGTTTTTGGATAATCTAAACTAAACGTCATTTTCTCATCACAATGAAAGGTCGCTTTTGACAACTTATACTTCAAATGACATTTAAAAAACAAATAAAACTTTCTCCTAATAAAAAAAATATTTTTTTCTTTCCAAAATCAAATTTGATAAGGACAGTTAAGATCAATTTTCTTATTTTCAACAATAAATTCAAGCATAAAATAACTATTTTCTAGTGTAATTTTCATTTTACCTCCAGATGATCCCCAGTGTTGATGAGAAACGAGTTAGGTAATGGGTTGACAGGAATCCACTTGCCATTATGTTCAATTTGAAGCCCACAAAGCTCATTTTGCATTAAGAGAGTCAAAAGTCCATGATCTGTGTGAGCTGGTAAGCCCATAACAAGTTCGGGTTTAAGGCAAGGTAATTGATAACAAGTAGCTGAGAGCCCATATCTACATTCATCGTTTTTTGTATGTAGTTTTCTTCTAGACCCAAACTCACTGATATTCCTTTTAGCAACTCTGCAATTAGTTATCTGCTCTTTGTGACATATTTCTCTAAAATTTCACTATAAACATTATAAAAAAAGAACATTAAAATGTTATAAAAAATAAATTTTGGTTTATCATAAGGTCCTCTTTTTTATCTTTAAAAAATGATTTTTTTTCTTTTTAAAAATAATTTTCATAAAAATGTTTTTAAAATATTAAAAAATTATAAATTGAAAGACTAATTTTAACATTATGTGACATAATTATACATTGTTAAAGATTAAAACTTAGTTAAAATCATATTTTTTTTCAAAAATATATTTTCAAAATAATTTTTATAAATAACTATTTAAAATAACTTCAAATTTAGGTGATTTTTATAATTTTTTATTACGAAAAAAATGGTAACAAATAGATGAAAATACCTAAAATAATGTTTTAAAAAATAAATAATTAAATTAATTTTTTGTTGGAAGCATTTTCTTTTTAAAAGAATTATAATTTTTTTAAACAAAAATATGTAAACTATAAAAGTTATTTTTAAAAAAACTAACAAAAATACTAATCCATAAACTCTAAGTAGCAATAAATCATTTGTTTTTTAATAATTAAAAATGAAAATGATAATCCCACAAATTTCAATATAGGTTTAATTTAGAAAGGAAATTGGATGGATGATCTTACACACTCTACCTTGTCCCCCATTATGATTTAGAATATATCAACCCCAACTAATGCTAATTATTAATTTTAATTTAATAAGATAACGACATTGGACTTAAATTCTTCTTCTTTGGTTACAAATGGACTGAACAGAGGTTGTCCCAAACCTTCTTAGTTATCCCATCTATGCTGTTTCTTTTTTCAATTCTTCTCTCTTTTTAATATAAATAATTGATAAAAAAATCATAAGAGTGTGATTAGATGAAAATTTTAAATAAAAAATAATCTTCTTTTTGAAGAGTTTTAAAATAATTTGATTAAATTTTATTGTTTGGATAAAATATATCGTAAAATTGTAAACATGAATAAAATTTTATTAAATATTTTGTCCAAATTAAAGTTAAAGAACTTTAAATACATATAAAAGTAAAGAATTTAAGTTTTTTTTAATATATACATTACAAATGTCAAATTAATTATTATTAACTATTCAATTTTGTAAATTGGTCTTTATAATTTTTAAATATCCAAATTGACCTTCAAGATTTTTTAAAATGGTAGTTTAGTCATTAATAATTTTAAAATTATATAAATTAGTTTTTAAAATTTTTCAAAAATTATAACAATGATTAAATTTATATTCTATTCAAATTAAAAAAAATTAAAAAATAATATAAATTTCAATTTATTATTTAAAGTGTTTAAAATTTTTTAATTTTTAAAATTTTCAGTTACTCATCTAAAAATACTATAAAAAAAAAAGAAGAGAAAACTATAAATATATAACTGCAAATTAACAAAGTTTATACCTAAGCAATGGGCTTGTTGGGAACATGAAATTGAGGATGAACATAGCATTTGAGATAATCTCTTCAATAAAGGGTTTTGTCTACTTTGAGATTAAATTTGTACCACATCTAATTGGATCAAATAGTTTCTCACTAATATATTTCTTTTTATCTTCATTTGATAGATCAAAAAAACATTGGCTTCCACTTATGACTTCATCCTTCAATGTCTCCGACATTCTATGATTGATTAATTAAATATGTAAGAAGATAAATTTAAATAAATTAAAATTAAAATTTTTATATAAATTTAATTTAAATATATGTACCATAAAAAAACCCCAATCACGACACGCATCACCGAGTTTTTGAATAGCTATAGAACGAACATTAAGATCCGACGATATGAGTTGAGAAAAATCAATAGTTGAAATGTTATTTGTTTCATCTATCAACATGGAATCATTTTCTTCATTTTTGTTGAAGCAAATGTAACTTGAAGGAATAGACCGTAGAGAGTTTGATTTGACTAAGCATTTAAGGTTTAACATGTTGTTCTTTTTGTGTTTGGATGAGAATGAAATAGAGAAGAGAGTAAGGTTGGATATAAATAACACTATTACATGTGTCTCTTATAAAAAGATTTTCTCGTGACCTCTCAAAAAAACTTTTGTGTTTTTTCTTCAATTTCTGAAGACGAAAGCGCCAACTAAATTTTTTGGTGTTACTTGTATTGTATGAAGGACTATGATCATTATTATTGTTTCAATTAGTAGTGTGATCCTCTTTAGTATACTTGACGGTTCACACCTCTTGGGCTCCATTTTATTGGACACTAATAATAGCAACTAGGTGCTCACAACCATAGAATATTTAAATGAGTTATATTCGGATTTATAAAAAAGAAATTATATGCATAATGTCTTAATGTTCAACATTTTCATCAATTTCAACACAATTTCATCACAATGCAAAATGTCATTAAAATTATCATAAACCCCAACAAATTTCTACGTACCTCTAAACCTTATATCAATTATAATGACAAATTATCCCCCTTACCTTAGATTCCTAGCTTGATCTTTCCTCTTTGCGATCTATCAAATTCCTCTATGTTCTTCGTGCCCTAACTTTTTCTCTCCTCTTTCAATGTTTTCACGATCGTCTCTTTTCCTTCTATTCCTTGTTTAACCTTAGGACCCCTAATATGTTTTGTCTAATTTGTTTCCACTTAACCTTTCATCAATTACCACCTTGGCCTTATCTTGTCTACACCAATTATTCCTTTATTTTACTATTAATAATAGTTTTAACTAATTTTAAATAATTATTAACTAAATATCTAAATTGCTAAAATACTCCTTACTCATCTAAATTCCAATTATTTCACAACATAGCATCACATCACGCGTCATTCTCAACAAAACATCGGATATTCATCAATAATTTATAAATATTTTTAGTAACTCATTTAAATTATTAATTCTAAAAATCAAGGGGTTACAGGTTCCGTGAGAACACACAGGTTCCTAAATTTTAGGTGCATTTAAAGAGAATAAAAATAAAGGTATTTAAAATCATAAATGAATCCAAACATGGAAAAATGTACTATTTTTTTAATTATTTATGTATCTAATGTTTTTATTTTTAAATTATTTTAAATTTAAGATACAATATTTTAAAGATAATATATGAAAAATTAAAATATATGTTATTGATGTAAAACAATTTTGGTAAATCAATTTTGTTTTTATTTTAAAAATATTTATTTTTTAAATAATAAACTATTTTAGTAAAATAATTTAGTTTTTCTTATTTGTATTTCTATTACATTTTGAAAACAAAAACATGCGTACCACACCAGTATGCGTGTGAACGTACATGTAACACACCAGTACTATGTGAGCGCACAGGTAACCATACTGAAACTCGTGTAAAAGCACAGATTATTATATTTTTTGTACAATTAAAGAAAATAAAAATATATATTTAAAATAATGTATGAATCCAAATACGAGAAAAATAATTTTTTAATTATTTATATTACAAATATTTTTATTTTAATATTATTTTAATTTAAAATACAATATTTTTTAAGATAATATATGAAAAATTGAAATATATATTAATGATGTAATGGTAAAACAATTTTATTTTTATTTTAAAAATATAATTTTATTTTAAAGATAATAAAGTATTTTAGTAAAATAATTTTTTTCTTATTTACATTTTTATTATAATTTAAAAATAAAAGTGTGCGTATCAAATCAGTACTTGTGCGAACGCACAAGTATCCCAGTAGTTATTTGATTATATATTTATAGGAAGTATAAATATTTCGATCTGAGTTTGAATAATTAATTTTACGTAATTATTCTTACAGAATAACAATGAAGTGATCGAAATAGTAATTCAGTTGATCGATTCATCCAATTTATAAAAATATATAATAATTTAATCACTTTTACTATTTAAATAATATATTTTTAAAAAATTATTTAATATTATATTGAAAATTAAGTTGAATAATTCATTATACAATTTTTTGAATATAGATTAATTATTACTTAAATTACATTTTTTATTTCCTATTTTTCTTTGTTCATACAACTAATTCTTTTATTTTAAATTTAAATAATTATATCTTTTTCTTACATTTTTTTAATTAAAATTGAAGATGTGTTCATTTTTAATAGCTTGTTATTTGTGAAATATCACATTTAAGAGTGAGAATAGGCCAAGTCGAATTAGACTGGCCAAAGCTGAGTCTGATTTGTTAAAAAATTTAAAATTTAAATCTAACATGTAGTCTATTATAGATTTATTTTTTGGTATGAGAAACCAACTTTTTTGAAAGTCTTATTGGTTTGCTAGCTTACTTAAAAGTCTACTTTATTTGAATATGTGTAAAATAACTATTCTACTAATGTTAAATAGATTAACAAATTAAAGATCAACGAGTATAAAATTTTATTTTCATTGACTCATTCGAGTTTACTATTAGCATAAGTTTTGTGATACTTTTTTTTTATAGAACATATTGAAACAACTTATGACAACAACTTATAACATTGTTCATAAGACTTTTTAATTTATTTTCATAATATCTTCAAGATAATTATGCTTTATTTTCATATTTTAATTCAAAATATAAAATACAATATAAAAATGATAAATTTATTCATGTTTATTTAAATAAATCAATTTAATAGATTTAAAAGACTTTTTATATGGTTTATAACTTAGCCTTTTTAGTTAAATATACTTATAAAAAAAATCTAAATTTATTTATAAAAAAACTTAACTTAATTGAAATCTGTGTAAACTAGATCATAGAGTCTTATTAGTTGACTCTTTTTGTAACATGATACATTATTAATAGCATTAATAGAAGTGACATGTCATTAGAAATTGACATATCACTTATTTTAAATGTAAAAATGTGAGAATAAAAT